GGAATAACAAGTAAAAATATTGGATCCACAAGTTCAATATAAATATAAATATAAATATATATTATTTTTGTTGGATAATAGTTATACAAGTAGAAGATAATGAACTACGTATTCATGGAGATAATATTACTCTTGGCTATAGTGGCTCTTCACTGCCGGACAGAGGTACTGGCTGTGGGTGTTGCGACAGTAGGGCCCTTGGAAAAATCAACCCCACTATGGGATGATAAAAGCGAATCTGATGTGCTTACCAAGGAACCGTTTAACAGCAAAGTCGGTCTGAAAAAGTCATCTCAGCTTTCTGTGTTATTTCTTCGTGAGGACGACAGGATCCTTCAGGGAAACGTGCGTTGTGGGGGAGGCTATTGCCCCAATGAGGCCCCTATTTGCTGTGGAGAAGCCCCGCACTTTTATTGCGTGCCTGGTGGGAACAAATGCTGTTATGCACCTAAAGGTAAAGTGGCAGCGTGTGAACAGAGCGATGAGTGCTGTGTTTTTGGAAATAATGCCACGTGCTGTAAGCAAGGTACAAGGTGTCAGAGAGATGGGAACGGGTCAGCATGTGCTATAGAAGCCTGCACCAAATATCAGACATCGGATGATTGTCTGCACAAGACAGAGGAATGCGCATGGTGTTGCGAAGAGCGGCGTTGTGTTAGTAAAAGTCAGGTGTGCTCTTCGGGAGAGAAACCTATTAGGTCATCGGAAACGTGTCCTTCCCCTTGTCAGTATGCTGATACATGCGCTCTCTGTCTCTCTTATAACAGTTCAATAAATGGATCAGATGCTTGTTTGTGGTGTTGTGCGACGCAGTCATGCATCCCTACAAGTAGGGTTATGGAGTGTAATAACGATCAAGAAATCCAACGGTTGGGTATGTGTTCCGTTTGTCAGGCCAACGGGGCTGGAATAAACCCTGAGTTTGTGGGAATGATGTCACAGTTTTTTGCCATGATATCAGGTATTGTCCTTATTGTGGGTATTATATCTTGTATTGGGGTGACCCGTGCCTATTTCTACTTTCGTGGAGGTATGCTGACGAACAACGGAATGCGTCTATCCGACGTTGACGCCCAAATGGCGGTCCGGCGCCACGGGTTTGGCTCTAGGGAAACTGTTTCCATGCAGGAAAGTGTGAAGCGGAGTTTAAATCGATTTTTTTGCAAGGTATTTTTCATGTTCAAGTCAAAGTTAAGGTTGGAAAACTCTTTTGAGGCGGTACAAACATCATCGTGTTTAGGCAGTGTGTTGTCCTGCGCCACGTGCCACCGCATACAGCATGTTCGCATACTTGCTTCCGTTGCAAACACCATGAAGGGTATCAAAATGGTTGAAGGAAAAACTGGGAGCGATTCAAACAATGATGTCAATGCGGCGGATGACGATATCGTCATCATGTTGCCGTGTTGTCATGCGTTTTGTCGTCCATGCGTTGGGCTGATTCCATCAAAGAATCCTTTGACGGCACGACTTGGTGAATGTCCTCTGGAAGCCCAACCACACGACGCTGACACCATACGGGCAAATTACATTCGCCTTCATTTGTCACCAGAAGAGGGTACGACTTTTTCTTGGGGAATAGATCCGTCCACCACGGATACACAATACGCTTCGCGTGAGGAGCAGCATGGAATGCCATCTTTTTCGGGGAGAAGAGAGGAAAATGGAAGCAATATTATTCCCACTAGTTCTACATCTACAAGATGGCAGCCGCAGCGTCGAATTAGAATTTGGAGGGATGGGCTGCTGCGTTCATTGCGAAGGCTTGGTGTTTGCCGAGAGAGCATTTCTTCACTGGAAGGGACGTTGTTGGAGAATGTTGTGCTAGAGAAAATCAATCACAAGTGTCCCAAATGTAAGCAAAGGGTTAAAGACGTTCTTCTTCCCGAAAATATTTTGAAATTGTAGTTTTCTGCGTGCTAGAGCGATGTGGAATTAACGACAAGACGGGTGATTGAGTGCGCAGGTGGAGCCCAGAGTACATTTCTTGTACTGTATTGGCAATTGTAAAAAAAAAAAGGACGATTGCCATTACACAAACAAACAAACATTTGAATTATTATTTGTTTGTTTATGGCAATAAAATGAATTTTTTTTTTTTTTTTGGTGGCTGGGTATTGGAGGATGCCGGTTTCTCTTTCTTCGTTGTTTCTGTTCCCTACTGCGGAGCAGAAACAGATGAAAAGTTCTGTGCTTCTCGGGCATTTTTTTCCTGGCATGAATTATAAGTTTTTTTGTCCTTTGTTTTATTTTCCTGACTATTGCCTGCTTTTCTCCCCTTCTTTTTGTTATTGTTAGCGCATCTACAGGCATTGACGCCGCATTTTGGGGCTGTTGATTTATTTCCTACTCCCCATTCTTTGAGCTGATGATGTCCCTTCCTTTCTTGGATCCCATTGCTGGCCTTTACTTTTTCTCCCCCTCCTTGTCTTTCATTCTTCTCTGCGGCTTGTGCTGCAACCCAGGAGAAAAAAAGAAAAAAAAAGAGAGGAGAGCTTGGAGACAGTTGGGTGATTGTGGTGGCTGGGCACAGGCGAGGAAGGGTTGTACACCGTCTTCTTTCTCACACAATTCATTTTCTTGGCGTTCTGCATTGACTGGAGAACTGGCGCGGAATTCCTTTTTTCCAGGTTTTTTTTTTTTAAATCTTTTTCGCATCTGGAAATGAACCCGTCACGACTCGGTCGCTCTATTTCCTTTTGGCTTCGCGAGTCACCATGGAGGAGTAACGTTTGCATCGGGACGACAATTGGATGTTCAGCCGATATCATAACCCAGGTGTTGGTAAGGAACTCATGTGCGCGGAGGGATCGTGTTCTGTCGCAGGACGACTCTCCACTGCTAGTAAGATGTCCCAATTTTATTCACAGATTGCTGACTCGCCTCAGGTTTGAGAAGGATAATACTCCTGCTCCTTTGATTGACCTTCGGCGCAGCTTCATCTTTTGTAGTTTTACAGTCGTATTTAACACTTTTTTTTTTCTATCTTTGTATCGGCGGCTTGATGCACTTTTCCCACCAGCTGCCATAACTCGGTGCCGGTCGCTCTTGAAGGGTTTTTTGAGTTGGATAGCAGCCAACGCTACAACACCGCTGTATCTCTCGTATGTAGCAACGCTGAGTCATTATTTTATTTACCGTACGGGTCGTCGCCAGCTTTGCGCAACTGAGGACGGCGACTTTGGGTGGACTGTGGATGTTCCGATTTTTCTAGGAGGGGTGGAAAAGCAGTTGGATCGACAACTGAGAGAAGACTGGCCTGATATGATTCAGTACAGTCTTATCTTCTGGGGCGTAAACTGGATTCCGTTGTTTTACTACATTCCTTCTCATTTTCGTTATGTTTACAGTTCTTTCTTACAAGTAGCGTGGTGTGCCATTATGTCTCACTTGATGCACCGTTAAATACAGGCAATCCAATCTGGAATTGGGGTTAAAAACACCGAAATATTAAGAGAACGAGAGGGGTGTGGAGAAATTATGTGCGCGAATTGGAGGAAAAGGGAAAGTAAGAAGAAATAACTATAACAGGAGGAAGAAATAAAAGAACTGGGCACTATCCTCAAAACCAATTTCCGTTTCTTTCTTTGTCTTGTGAACTGTGACTTTCAAGTATATTTTATAGTGTGAAGGAAAAAGTAAAAAACAAATATATATATATATATAACAATAATAATAAGAGAGGGGAGAAGGGAAAGAAGCAAGGCTCAGGTGTACCCAAAGGTTACAAATATTCAGATGAAGCGCACGTCTTTGAGGGTGCTGCACGTCACAGCGGCTTTAATGCAGGGATGGGGCAAGGGGTCCTCTTCCGGCGGAGGGTGGGGTGACGATGACGGATCAGCTGGCGGTGGTTGGGGCTCTGATGGCAATGCTGGTGGCGGTGGTGGTGGTGGTGGCGGTGGCTGGGGCGCTGATGTTGGCGGCGGTGGTCGTAGAGGTCGCGGTGGTTGGGGATCTGGCGGCAGTGGCGGTGGTGGCGGTGGCTGGGGATCCGGCGGTGGTGGCGGTGGAAGTCGAGGTGGCTGGGGATCTGGCGGCAGTGGCGGCAGTGGCGGTGGCTGGGGATCTGGCGGCAGTGGCAGTGGTGGCGGTGGCTGGGGATCTGGCGGCGGAGGTGGAGGTCGCGGTGGTCGTGGCTCTGGCAGCGCGTGGAATGAGGGTGACGCTGGATGGCGTGGTGCGTCAACGGGTGCGCGCGTAAATCGTGGTCGTGGTAGTTTTCGCCGCGGACGCGGTGGTGCCATGGAAGGTGTTTGGGGTCAACCGAGCGCGGTAGACGAGGAGGCATGGTCAGCAGCCCCGCCCAGTTTCAACCCACCTGTGCGGCGCGTAGACCCCCTCACTCTTACAGCTGTGGAGGTGGAGATTGATGGGATCAAAAAGCTGGTGGGTCAGCGGGTTCAGGTGTCTGGGGTGTCCGACGAAACCACCTGGCATACACTGAAAGATCATTTGCGTCAGGCGGGTGAGGTGACGTTCTGCAAAGTTCTTTCAGGCGGGAGAGCTGTGGTCGAGTTCGTCACTCCAGAAGATGCTTCCCGCGCCATCACAGAGCTGCAGGCCTCGGAATTAGAGGGGGCAACCATCTTTCTTCGGGAGGACAGGGAGGACACCGTTCTTGTAAATACACGGAAAAAAATACGTGAGGCTCGAGATGCTCAGCTTCGTGCGCGTAAGGAGGAGGCGGAGCATCGACGACGAGAACAGGCTATCGCAGAGGGCGATGTGCCTTCATCCACATCTTCATCCGCGACGGAGGCGGCGACTGCCAATCCGCAGCTCTGATTGCTGAGAGTAAGAACACTGTGATGTGGCACGGGTTCCTTGAACTAAGGAAATTAGGAGGAGAGTGATTGAAGTAAACAGGAAAGGGAAAAGAAGAAGAAAAAAAAATATATAATAAAAGTGAGAAACTTTTGAGAAATGGGAAATGGAGGTCCACCTCTTTTTTCTTGTACGGATGGCGGGAGGACACATGAAGCTCGTTTTAAGGGCATTTGAAATTACCGTTAATTTACATTGAATACAAGCACGTATGCATATCTAAATCGAGAGGAAATTTGCTCACAAGAAAGGAAATCAAGACGAGGAAGAATCTGGAGGAAAATGTGAGGCGGAGAAAAGGAGGTATCAGCACCAAAAATAAGGCCAGGAGTGGAGAGGGGACTTGGGGGAATGATTTATTGAAAGTGCCCGGCGTGCGAGAGGTCTCCGCTGATATGGCGTAGAAGTAATGGAGGTTGTTCTTTTTTTTTTTTTTTTTTTTTTTTTTCTCTGCTTAATAGGACAAATTCTGCAGCCTTGCTTCTTACACCAGTGTATATGTATACTTATATATATATTGGAATTTATGGCGAGTTCAATGTTGACACGTGTCAAATTATCCCTTGCAGATATTCCTGTAAAACGACTCATCGTTTGTCTTGGATGTGGTGATTATCAGAAAAATGAGGCGCGCGGGGCGCTAGGCAACCGTGTAGCACAACAAATTCTTGGCACATGTGCTCCCGCTCCAAGTGACATACACAACCCTGATAAGAATCGCCTCCACGCCCGGAATGCTCATGGACGGGCTCGTCAGAACCACTGCTACCATAGAGGAGAACGATTTTTTAGGGGGATGGCAGTCAATGGACTTGTTCGGAGTCGTGGTAGCATACGGAGTCCACAGGTATGGGATTCGGAGCCTGTGGTGGACTACATGGGCCTATGGTGCGATAGGCTTCTGCTTGGGGAACATACCAACCCGTCTCGTTGTGCCCTGCTGGAGCCGCGGGCGCCATTTGTAATGGTTGGAGAGTCTCTGGAGCGGGTACTTTTGGCACATCGCAATTTTCAAGGCGCTGATATTCTTTTTGTTTTTGCTAGTTCCTGCTTTCCTTTTGGTGCGCTGCGCCTCGTTTCCTTCAATGATGCTTTGCTGAACATTCCGCGTGGTGGCCCGTCGGTCTATCAACATAATTCCATTGGCACAATATTGAACCGGTTGGCATTGTCATCAGATGAGGCTTCAGCTATTGTGATGGGAGTGGGTGACACTCATGGCCTCCTTGTCTCATTGACAGCAGAGGAGAGAGCGATGTGTGAAAGCCGCATATTGCCACTCGTCAGCTTTGCCGCTGCTCTGTGGACGGTGAACCCGGCGAAGGCAAGAGAGTATCTCCAAAGCAACCCCAAGGATAATATGAGGTTGTGGCGAACAATGCAATCGTCCATGTTGTCCACGCGGGACACGGCGGTGCTACGCGCTTACGAGAGCGGCAGGCCGCTGGATGCGCGGATAAGTCAGCGCCAGACTATTTATTTGGCGGAGACACTTTTGTCGCGTTTATTTCCAGACGACGCCGAGCGCTGAGTAGCGTCGTGGTTTTGCATTATTGACATTGAACGCTTGTCTCGCAATTGATCTTAATTTGCTCACTACTGTTGGTTCCTTATTCATGCAAGAAAGGAGAGAGAGAGAGAGAGAATGGCGGAAGTGTGTCTATGAAGAGGAGATCAGGCAAACAGAAAAAAAAAACTGATTCTAATGTAAGCTTATATACATATATATTAGTTTCTTCTGATACTTTCATTATTATTATTATTGTTTTGTGTGTGTGAGTTTGTGTGTTTTTTAGGTATTTGCGTTGAATCAATATTCACTAAATTTTCTGCAGGAATCATAAATTATGAAGGCTTTGAAACTTTTTAAAGACCGATTATGCCCCTTTTGCCAACGCGTGTTGATCACGGCGAAGGAAAAGCGTGTCACGTTGGAGGAGGTGGAGGTTCCTCTTGGCGATGACATGCCGCAGTGGTACAAGGAGCTGAACCCACGGGAGACGGTTCCAACGCTTCAGGTGGATGGAAAAAAATGCATGATCGAGTCAGATCTCATTTCACGGTACATTGACCGCATTTCTTCTCCCGCGAACGCCCTTATGGGGTCAAGCCCCTACCAACGGCACCGCGTGGAGTTTTTTCTGGGTGAGATCGGCGATCTTGTCAAAGCATATTTTGGCCTTGTTAGGGACCCTTTCAATGAGGAGAAGCGGAAGTCCGTGGATAACAACACCGCATATATCGAGGATATCATTGCAGAACATCAGGGGGACGGACCATATTTTCTTGATGACACGTTTTCCATGGCTGAAGTTATGGTCGTTCCATTTCTTGCTTGTTTCCGTCCAGTTTTAAGTTACTATTGTGGTTATGACATCTTCCATAATGCTCCCCGTCTCAAGAAAATGTACGTGACGTCCATGCAGCGTACAACTGTGAAGGAAACGATTTCAAAGCCAGAAGAATACATTATTGGCTTTAAGAGTAAGGTGCCAAAATCGCACGTCACATGGTCATTGGCTCCTGGCTATGTACTTTTTGTTAACAAGTATTCTCCATTTTCGGATCGCCCTCGTTTGGCATGTGCACTGAAGAATATTGATTTGCCCATGCTTGAAATTGATTTGAAACAGTTGCCCCCGTGGTTCCGATGGTTTAACCAGCGTGAAACTGTGCCAACTTTGCTTACCCCACAGGGTACCTACGTTCATGAGTCCCAACTTATTGTTCATTATCTTGATGATGGGTTCCCAGAGCATGGGCCTGCGCTACTTCCCAAGGATGCCGATGGATCGTACCATGTGAGGTTTGTTGAATCTAATGTGGATTACTTTATGGATGCCATGTATTCTTTCATAAAGGATCCAAAAAACATGAATGCAAAGGAAGAATTTGATTGGGCAGCAGGTGAGCTTGAGAAATTATTGGCGGAACATCAGTTTGGGGAGGGTCCATTTTTTGGTGGAGCCACAATGAACGCTGCTGACGTTTCTCTTGTGCCCATGCTGGTGCACCTGAAGGCCTGCACTCCAGAACTGACGGAAGGCCAGGATTTGCTTGCAAATTACAAGCTGTTGGCCGCCGCCGCGGAAGCGGGTTTGACGAGTGAGGCAGGCAAAAAGGTCTTTTTGTCACTCTCGGAATACTCGAGTATATACAAGACGTTTTTGCGTCCATCGTCTTGAGACAAACGCGGAAGCCGGTGCCTGTGCGTGCCATCAATATTGAGTCCACCAAGGAGTGGCTTACTGTTTCCTTTCTTTTTATGCCCCAAGACCCTTCAGCGGAGGGATCGTAGTGGAGAGAATTTAAGAGGCTGCCAACGACTGTGGGGGGAAAGCAAAATAAGCCCAAAGCGAAATGTGAATGTTGAAAGCGAAATTTGAATAAAGGCAAAAAAAAAAAAAAAAAAAAAAGAGAAAATGAAACGAAAAAAAAGAAAAAGAAAACATCAACGCAAGAATTGAAGTAAAAAGATGCGGAAGCCAGGTACCGTGTTGATTAAATTGAGAGGCGTCTGTTTAATTTTTTATTTTTATTTATTTTTATTTATTTATTTATTCTTGTTTGTTTTTTTCCTCTTGTTTTCTCGAATAAATTTGATGGTTCGCATTGCGGTATCGCGTGTCCCCAGACCTCGTGTCGTGCTGGGGCACGACGCAGCTGGTCCGGACTCCGGTTGATGCCTTCAGCCCTGCGCCAACAAAAAAAACAATGACTCCGTGGGGGAAACATTGCTGGCTCTTGGTTTCCCCCGACGATACGGGGCAATTGCCCCTGGCGTACCACGCTGAGGCGGCTGGCATTGCCAGGGGAGCTTATTTGAGAAAGTAAAACATGACAGGAAAGGCAACGAGAACGGGATTGATATGAAAGAAGGGTTTTTGTTGGGGAGCGAGCAAAAAGGGGGATGTCAATAGCCGGACTAAACATATTGGCTCATGAAAAGTAAGGCGGGCGGTGGGATGTGGGGACTATGTCAGTTTTTTTTTTTATCTTCTTTTTTTATCCTTTATATATTTATATCCTTTTGAGTTTGCGCCTTATTGCTTTTGCATTGCTCTTGCTGGGGTGATGATGGCGTTTTCCTTTTATTTGGGCTGTTTTTTATTTACTGTGGGGTGGGTAGATGGATATATTGTGCGGCGGGGTTCCCGTCGCAGGGTCAATTCTCGAGGCATTTGCCGCCGCATTGCTTTGCCAGCCTGCGAGGGATGGTTGGCGCCGCAATGCCATGAGAGCTTTGAATGGCGGAGGAGCTGTTGTTGCAGGCATTGTATTGCGGTTGCCTTCTTCACCCATCGAAGAAGAAGACACACCATTTTTTATCTGTGTATCGCTGGGCAGCGGTACAAGATGCGTTGGCTACGAGCCTCCGTTGTGTTCCTCAGAGGCGGATATTTTCCTTCGGGATGGACATGCAGAGGTGATGGCCCGACGTGGTTTTGTCGCATTTTTGCTGGACGCGGCATTGTACCTTGCGCAGTCGGAAAGCGGACATCACCCGTTTGTGGAACGTTGTCACTTTCTCTGTAAGGGTCCGGAAGGAAAGAAAGATGTTGACACTATGTGGCAGTGCTTTCGGTTACGTAACGGAGTGACAGTTCACCTTGTTAGCACCGAATATCCCTGTGGAGCCATGTCTATTCCGCGTGGTGGAGGCCATGTACTGCTGTCGACTCCTAGCGGTGAATCGCTTTCTTCAGCCACTGGCATCGATTCGGCTTCAAAGAAGGATGAGCCGTTCTTTGCGTCCTGCGATGCGGCTGCAACGGATGCTCGTCCGGCTATATTGTTTTATGGGCATGCTATAGCTGCCCATCGCAGTCATCCCGCCGAAGAAATGCTGCATGTGGGACGTGTGAAGCCTGGTAAGGGCCGCCAAAACCTTTGCATGTCGTGTTCCGATAAGTTGCTTCGATGGCATTGTTTGGGTGTTCAGGGCAGACGACGGGCGCGACTTTTTCCAAGGCCTATGAGTCTCACAAGTGTGTGGCTTCCACAGACACCGGATGGTTCTGCTGCTGATAGTACCGATTACGGTGCATCCAGGTATTGTTCTCTGGAAGACGCAATTAGAGCTTTGAATGGTCGTATTTGTTATTTTTGTCCCATGGTGTCTTTAGAAGGGGGAGATGATAGTCCAAAAGGGAATTCCCAGATGCCTCACAGCATGCCGGCTCCCTTTCCCGTTAGTTTTTATGGATTCAAGCCGTTATTTTTTCGGTCGCTTCTCACCAAATCTGCCTGTACTGCCGATACACGAGAGAAAGATGATTGTGATGCGGACAAGAATGGGAAAAGTGACTCCGCTTGGTCCCGGAGTGCGTGGCTCAAGATGGCATCTGGAGTGAAAAATGACTCCATTTCAATGTTGCGATCAAAGAGGCAACGAGAAGTTGACACGTCTGAAATGAATAACGATGCTCTCAGTTGGAGGAAGGGTGGTGTTACTGTACTAAACACCAAGGCCGGTCTTCCCCGCGGCATCACGAAGCAGGATGCGGAGCGCACTGCCCATGAGTTATTAAGACTACAGTCGGTCCTTTTAGGAGATGGAGGCCACACAAACACCGCGGATGATGCAGCGCTGGAGGTTATAGCGAAACGTTTTCCACTTTCCCGGCTATGGATGGCGCAGCAACAGCGAAGAGTCATGCAGTGCCTCTCACGGCAGCGAAACGATACGTCCATGGGGACTCTTTCACTGTTGGGTAAAGACGGTAGCCAGAAGCATGTTGGTGGTATGACCATTAGCTCGTTCCCTCTGCCGGTACTTCTTTTTCCTCTCGAGGGGGCGAAGGAGCAGGAGGCTGTTGTGGCAGGGGGTTCTGCGCAGTATTGGCTTCAGCGAGCACGCCAGAGCAGAAACGCCATGATGAATCCATTGAGAAATGAAGGGGGCACGTCAGCGCACATACCGCTTTTGTGGGTGGAGAAGGGACTTTCCGTTTAATGCAAGAAGAAATATATGCTCTTTTCTGTTTCTCACCCCTCCTTTCCCTTTATTTTTTGTGCGGGCCTGTGACAGGGGTGAGTCTGCGATGGATACCATGTTTTTTTTTTTTTTTTTTTTTTTTTTTTTTTTGGCCCGGTGAATCAGGGAAGACTTTCATCTCAATCTTTTTTTTTCTCCGTATCTTTTTTTTTTTTTGCTCATTTTGCCTTTCTCTTGGAACGTGCCAAAACCACTGCACCAACTCACCCACTCACACACGCACAAACACGAAAAACCAACAACAACAGAGAGGTGACGCCATTCTACACTATAAAAGAAAAGGACATAGGACGGACGGGATATATAGGGGAAAGCTGAACGATCGGTGAGGATATTATAAGGTCTTGCTCGGTTTTATGATTCTTTCAGGGATTTCTTCCGGTGTGTCCAGCCCATTTAATCCAAGTATTTGGACTCCAATGATACCCGGTACGGTGATGCAGAATTCTCAAAAAGCCTTGGATGACTCTTCTCCGACGTGCCTCGGACTGACCGTTAGCGGCGGCTCCGAGACGGCGTTATCGTTGTCCTTGCATGGGGCGACACAACCAAGCAGTCCACTCCTTTCGAACTGCATAGCGACCGGTAGCAGCCTTATCGCCACTGGTGAAAAGAATCATACTCCAATGCAAGGTGGCGGTGGTGGCGCCAGCGGTGGTTTATGCAACACGCCATCGGAGTCTTCCTTTGTTGGTCTGACAGCGCAAGCGACATCTGGACAAACACGCTTGGAAACGATACGTCTATCTCCTCATGACGTTGTGAAGTGTGCTGAGCATCACAAGGAAAGAACGGCACAAAACATGATGCGTGTTGTGAATAGATCGGGTGATGTTGTATGGGTGTGTCGTCCTGATGTGGTATGTAAGGTGCGTAAGGGTGGTCGTGCTTTTTCTCATGGTTCACGTCGTCAACAACCCCCTCCAAGTGGGTTACCTGAGAACAGGACATCTAATCCCAGCACTATTGTCACATTGCAGAACCCGAGAGTTGTATTCACGACGCCACACATGAACAATTGTGCCGCGACTCCAAGCCAAGCGCCGGGATGTTGCATTGGAGGCTGCGAAACTTTTGTTGCAACGCCACTTGCTCTTGCTGGCCCTCCAAGTTTCACTCAACTTTCTTTTCTGCAGCCTGCAGCACATGAGGACGCCATGTTCTGGCTTCCCGTTTCACCGCCGCCACCGCCAGTGTACTCTGCTGCTTCTGGTGCAGGGAGTGTTGGAGGGCCATCTGCCGCAGGGGTTGTTTCTCACGTCACGATACCTCCCAACTTCGCGTGGGTTCCAACTCCAGTCCCGCGTTGAAGAGGGAAAAAGAGGAACGCAGCAAGAGGAGGAAAAGAAATTCCACGATAAAAAGGGGGATAAACGTGGAACGGAGACTACAAGCATTTACACGTATGAGGAATGGGGAATGGAAAAAGTAAAAGAGGAACGCGCAGGGAAATAAGGTTTCAATGCAAGGACTGTAAGAAGAGATTAAGTTTGAGGGGGAACGGTGACCCTACAGGAGTAAAAAGAACGAGCAAAAAAGAAAAAAAACGAGAGAAAATGAAAAAAAAAAAAAAAGAAATTGGTGTCATGACAACGGAGATAATTTTGTCAAATAAAGCGAAACAAACAACAACAACAAAAAAGAGGATGAGTTTAACCTGGCAATAAATAAAACACAAGGAATCTAAATGGAGCAGAAGTAGATGCAAAAGGCAAGAAGAACTGTAGCGAAGGCAGGGCCTCTTCTGGATGGGGAGGGGAAAAAAAGGACAAAAACGGCTGCGTTTGTGGTCTGTGGAAGCGGGAAAAGGGCGAGAGGAGGGAGGGAGGGAGAATTACAAACCCAAACGTCATGGAAACGGAGTGAGTCGCTCTTCATTTCTCCCTTTTTTTTCCATTCCCTTTTTGCTTCCTTTTCCCCTGTCTTTTTTTTTTTTTTTTTTTACAATTTTATTTTATTTTTGATGAACCTCCCACTTGTTTTTCCTTTTTTTTTTTTTTTTTTGGGGCTTATCCCCCCTT